CTATCCTAATGTTCAGAATTCCTTTAAGCATCTCTCCTGTACAGACAGCATCTTGTTGAGCTTTCTCAGTAGAGGGCCTTGGGGCACATTGCAGGAGGAAGGGACTCTCCTGCTATTTGCAGTGGCTGCGTGAGTTCGGCAGTTTTGGGGGGAGGACTTCGGTCATGCTCCACCCCAACCACACAACCAGAGCATGCGGCAGGCTCTGCAAGCTCTCAGCTCCAGTCTGGCCTGGTATTAAAAATAGAACCCATTTCACAGATTGTTGTGAGTACATATGGAATCAGCATATTGATATGCAATATGCTGATTTTTACAGAGTGAACCCAAAACAACTTTGGTTTACTTCCTACCTGCTTGGGGCAGGAGGACTGGGTAGCCCTGCTACCCCTGAATGAAACTTGGGCTGGCACAATGGCTATTCTGACACTCTGGGGGAAGATAAAGTCCTACAATCACTTTAAGACACAAACATAGTCTTAGTTCATTTATTGAAAGTATCCAGTCCAATATATCAATCTTTATTCAAACATAAGACTTCTGCAAAGGAATCCTTCTCTTTCATCTCTCTTACTCCCCCTATTTGCTAACCATGGCTTTGCGCCCTTCCAGGGTTAAGTGCTTGGATAGAGGAGGGAAAAGGAAGCAGAGAAATGTTTTTACTTGACAAGTACAGTTAAAATATGGCTGCACGCTTTCTAGACTGAGAGGTAATTAAAACTAACCCTCTATTCGTAACATATATAAATGTCTAATCACTATGTTGTACACCTGAAACCAATACAATGTTGTATGTCAACTGTAATTGGAAAATAAATTAATTTTAAAAAGCTAACTCTTTCTCTTATTGACACTTTTAAGGTTCTTCAGAAAGTCTCTTCTTCAACAGCATGTTCTAGTTCTCCAGTTGTCCCACCTGGCTCAGTCCTTGGTTTTCCAGGAGTCTACTCCATACTGATCTTCTCTGTCCTCAGGATGGTACCTCTCTTACACACGATTTTAAAATTGTTCTGAACCAGATCTCTTATCCACATTGCTCACACTAGGACAAGGGAATATTCGTATATTTTTTGTCCCATCAAACTCCAGGACCAAAGGTCAAGCCAAATGCAGCCGCAACTCTCCCCACTCAACCTTCAAAGCCACTTGCCACATCCTCTCAGCTTCTCTGTTTCCTGGAAGGGAATCAGACTGCAGTCCACTGTGTTCATCCTAACGGCAGTGGGCCCTACAGAGCACTCTGCAAAGCTCGCTGGTGGAGCTTGCCACAAAATCCAGAATGAGACAGGTTTTATAAACTTACTCAGCTTTTTGACAAAGGGAAGCATTTCCAATTTTAATTCTAAGAGATTTTTTCCCCTGTAATTCATAATTTTGCATCTTCATTTTTCTTTCCCATGACCCTTGATCAACCATCACTTTGGTGACCATCAGCGTGGTCATAAATTGTCCACACATGGCCTAACCGGGGTTTTACCACATACAGATCTACATAGTTGTGGGGATAACATGCATTGTCACTGAAATAGGAATTAAACTATTATATAAACTTAAAACATGCAAGCCCTACACTAAAATCATTCTTTACTAATCTTGCTGTATCAATCCAAACAAAATGGTGTTAAGATTTGATGTCACTAGTAGTCACCATTTTAACTATCTACAGAAACGAGATAATGGTGAAATTTCTCATCCAACTTTGCTTATACTAAAGAGCTGTAATGCTCTATATCGAGAGAAAGGAAGAAAAGAAATTATTTTTAAAGTTTATTTTTGCCAATTTCTGCTGATAGCATTTAGTTTCACAGTTCTAGACATGAGCTGGATAAGCAGAAGAATTTTAAACAGAAAGATCAAAGTCCATAGATGAGGAAGTGGTTTTTTCAGTTTCTTTAAAATTTAGACTATCCCGTGAAAAACACAGAATGTCTATGAATAAATAGTATTCATAACAGGCTGTGACAGAGAAACTATAGAGACAAGTACAGACAGATATGAACAATACTGTTGGTAATATAAAACTGGTCATGTGGGCCAGTATAATTAATATAATCAATGTGACAAGGAATTAAGCTGAACACAGTCATGAGAATTCCTAAAAGAAGCAATTCTCTGAACTGGCTGCATCAGAACCATCTAGAATAATTCTCCCAAGTGAACCAGACAGAAACCTGTCAATACCTGAGATGACCACTAGTCTGCCCAATGTCCATTCCTTGATTCTTAGCAACAAAACATTGATTTTATTGGTGTGGTGTATCTAGCTAAAAGCAACATTTCCCAGCTTCTCTTCAAGGTCAATATGGCCAGGTTACTAATTCTGATCAACGAATCTAAGTGGAGATTGTTGTATTTTGCTTCTGACAAAGCTACTTTTAAAGGGAATGAAAAGCTGGGTATAACTTTTTTGTTTTTCTACCCATTCCTCCTTCCTTGGCGTATAAGGCTGGATCCTACAAGCACACATCTTAGAACATGAACTAATCTTTAAGTCAGAAGCCATAGATGACAGATCAAAGGACCCTGGGGTCCCAATGACCGTGAAACTGCCACGCCAGCCCTGCACTGCTTCTGCCACACTTCTGTTATAGGAAGGAAAGCAAACAGGACATGTTTAAGTGCCTGTTATTACACACCATCAAATCCTAAACACAGTGATACTAGCATTTTCTTAGCCTTCCCAGATTCCAACAGATGATTTTAATTTTCACACAACTATAGCGACCTCAACAATGCCACCTAGTTGCCAGTGATTGCAGCATGTTATTTGGAAATGTTAAAATATGGGGGAAATGCCTGTCTTAGAATTAATGAAACAGGTATTTGGAGTTTTCAGTTTATCCTGCTGCCTTAGCTTACTTGAAATTTTACTTGTAAAATCACTGATTCTGCGACATATAGAAGTTGGAACTTCTAATGTAGGAAGGTAAATGGCTATAAGAGAATGCTTCGTGCATATCAGCACAGAAGGGAAATTAAGAGAAATGCAATCTAACTCAGGCATTGCTATCCATAGCTTGGGAATGGCAAAGTGTTAGTGAGACAGTAGCCATAGCAACATTAATGTTAGGGAATTAATTTATTATAAGGGTAAGAACTTCTTGTGCTATACTAGACCTTAAATAAACAAAGAGTCTGGAAATCATGGTAGCTTAATGATAACACCAAAGTGAGACCCAAAAGAAGACGTGGAGGAGGGACTGGCACAGGCCGTTAGTATTTAGCTCTATTAAAACACCTGTGCTAATTATCTGGTAAACTCATGGTGCTGTTTTGATTCTTGTCAATTAATTTATTTTAAAAAATTTAAGCTCCTAGTTAAAGAAGCCCCTTTAGATGTGGTAAACTGGAAACACCCAATTTAGTAAGGCTTTACTAAAGGTCATTATAAAATGCTATTCAAGGACTGTTATGTAAGTGGATTGTCATGTTTGCTATGCTAAGCAACTGCTGTAGAAACGAACATGGCAGGGTCAGACGTAGATGCTGAATAAACACAAATTATCCTGACTTAACCAACGATGAACCAGAGTTATAGCCACACATCCACACATAACTTATACTGGTTAAGGAAAGAAAATAATATTCTCATCATCAGGATAAATATTAGAGTTAGAACAAGGAGGTTCTGGGATCTTCCAATAAATTGTTATTGGTATTAGATATTTTCTACCAGGTAAAATGAAATACAGTACTAGGTAGCCTATAGGAACTATTTAAGGTAGATAGAATCCTTTTGAATTTCCTCACTCTCCCCGAATTAGAATTGCACACAATTCTATGCCTTTGCCACGTGACTTCGCAGCACCTCCTACTACAGTGACCCAGCCCGAAGACACCCCCACCCCCACCCCGCCAGCTCAAAGTTGAGCTGAGCCCAGGCTAGATCAGCAGAAGTCCAGTCAGCAGACCTGTTAGCAGAAGAATGACCTGGTGTGAGCCTCAAATTCTTCAGTTGCAATAGGCATCTTCCATGGTCTGAATGTTTGTGTCTCCCCGGCCCCAATTCATATATTGATATCCTAACTCCCAAAGATGATGATATTAGAAGGTGGGGGATTTGGGAGATACTTAGGTCATTAGGGCACAGCCCTCATGAATGGAATTAGTGCTCTTATAAGAGGCCCACAGAGCTCTCTCTCCACTTCCACCATGTGAGGACACAGGGAGAATACGCTGTCCGTGAACCAGGAAGTAGGCTCTCATCAGACACTGAATCTGCTGCTGGTGCCCTGATCTTGGACTTCTACCTTCCAGAACTGTAAGAAATAAACTGATGTCATTTATAAGCTATCCAGTCTGTGGGATTTTGTTACAGTAAACTGAATGGACTAAGACAAGATGTTTTGTTACTCAAAAATGCCAGCTATACGTAAGCATTTTTAAGTTTAGCAATGTGAAAATAAAAGTTGAAATCATTTTTGGTTTCTCATAGCATCTTTAAAATCTAAAGATTATAGAATGTTCAACTAGTATAATAAATGCCTCAGTAATAGATATATTGACTGATTGATCGGTTTATGCTTTTTCAAATAGTTATCTAGGATAATTTAAATTTGATCATAGCTTTCCATTTCCTACCTTCTACCTAAAGCACAGTCTCCAATACGTAGCAATATTCTTTTTGCATTTTAGGTCTTCATGCTCTGTTGCCTCTGTTTTCCTCATAGTTGAGAGAGTAACATGAAGTGCTCACAGTCCAATAAATGAGAATTTGTTTTAATACCATGTCGTTAATAGTTTCTTAACCCAGACATACAATATGTACTTTAGAGGGTAAAGATTATTTCTTAAAATAGAATATAAACAGATGGCATGATAAAAAAGATTCTATGCTTACTGATTTTAATGAACAACAATTAATCTTTACAGTTTTTATTTGCTGAATATCTTTGAAATAAACACATCACCAATTTCTTATTTATCTCTCTCCCCCATAACACCAGGTACATGGAAGTTACTCAATAAAAAATACATATTAAAATGAATTACACAATACATGGTTTCAAAAGTATTTACTATTTGGTCAAACAATAACTTTTTAATTGTCAGTCATAAAGTTAAAATGTACACTCACATAGATGTTAAAAATTCATCAGAATGGCATTATTGTTATGTGACACCATTTTATGGTCTGTGGGAAAATGTAATTCCTGAGATCATTATTGGCCTTTATAAATAATTTTTCTCACTGTCAAATTATCTTCCCTGAAGTGACCTGGGGCGGTGAGTTGGGTTAGTATGTTCAATTTTAGACCAGCATTCTATATCTGCTAAATGAGTAAATAGGCTCTATCTTTTATAAAAGGTAGGAAAATAACCATGATGTGCAGATTTTTTTCCCCAAAGTATACTGTATAGGAAAAATATAGACTGAACAAAAAGAAGATTTTTCTGAATGACTCTCGATCCCATAAGGAACATGTTTTCCAGTTAATCTGTCCTTGACATACATGTGCGAGTCCAGCTGTTGTTTTGCATTTATTTACAATATCTTTTGCTAAATAATTGTGTTCATCTTTAAAACAAAACTACTTAAAATTACATTTAATTTCTACAAATCAATATTCTTCACCTTCACAAAGCAAACACATTGCACACTGAAAATGAGTTTTACATATTGTTCTGCCATTTGTTTGGTGCACTAACAACATAAGTCATACAAAGTAATTCCGACATTTTATGGAATCTGGTAGACTTTACTTAAAGTTAGAGTATCAAATAAAGTCTAAACTTAGTAGGCCTAGCAAAACTTTATTGATTTCATAATTCATATTGGTTGGTTTTCGAAGCAATCCTATGAATGCCTAACTGAAATATAAAACAGCAAAAGCTGTGAGACATCTTTCTTTCCCAGGTTCATTAAGGCCTTGGAATCATTTATATCTGTGTCATATACATTTTGATTCTCTTCTGCATCCTGATGTACTTGCTTTTGAAAACATTAGAACAAATTAGGGGGAAAAAAACACACTCTGAAACCACTTGAACTTTTGATCCTACCGTAGAGATTTAAAAGCTTATGCAACCTAGCTTGTATTTTTTTTCTGGGTTTTGGTGTCTAAATGATTGTAGAATGCATGTTTCTTGTTTTGCAATGATTTTCTAATATGCAGGAAACATTAAAAAGAGGGTATTTACTGAAGATCTCATATACAAGGCTTTTCAGACCAGAACTGAAAACCTTTTGAAGCTTTTTAACAACAAGCAATCGCCTATGTCACAGATCTGAAAGCAATAATCAGTTTTCTTGACCTACAGTTGAAAACAAAATTATCTTTTAACCAAACAGGATCAGCTTGAAATCCCTTTGGAGATGTTTTTATTTATTAAATGTTTTCATTAACAACACCATCTCTCATTTCCTATTACTCCAATTCAATTTCTCCGGCATACAAAGTAATGAGCAGAATAGCTGTGAATCCAGTTAACATTCCAGCATTCTGAATCATAAAGAAGGTGAAATCGGTTTTTCTTCCAGTTACCTTTTCTCTCAGCATATCGTTCATCTCTGGAAACTGGAAGAAAGGTGTATTATTGTTAGATAACTGTTGCCATCTTGTGGTAAAATACAAAATAGTCGTTTATAGATTTCCATGGGGTGGGGGATGGTCATTTATTTCAGATGTTTAAACGCTTTAGTATAGATAGCACAATAGGAATATCTTGCCCTATTAGACATCAAAAAGAATAAAAGTACTAAAATAGTGTTCCCCAAGTGGGATAGAGTTCATCTCATTTCATGCCCCCCATCCCCTCTCTGCTCCATCCACACCATTCTTTGACCTCAAATGCATCTAGGCTCTTTCCTTCCTCAAATCTTCACACCTACCAAAACTTCTTTTTGAACTCGTCTGCCTCCAATTTTTCAATGAGCTAAATCCTTCAGATTTCAGCTTAAATCACACTTTCCTAAAAAGGTTTCCTTTAGCTTCTTCTGCCTTATATTAGATTCCCCCCTTATCACCTCTCACCATATATATTGCTTTTCCTTTTATTTCACAGGTTTTTTTTTTATTTGTAATGACTTAGTCATGTGTGTGATTTTGTTTGTTTGTTGAATTTCAGGTTCCCCTCCTTATAGATGGAAAGCCCCATGAATACAGGGACTGTACCTCTTTTGCTCACTCTAGTGGCCTCAATGTCTTATCAATTTCCAGGCTTGGTACAGAACTATCAATTCAGAATAGTTAAATAAAAATTTTTTAAGAAATCACTATACATTTAATTCCAGTTCTTTTCCATTTGTTTCTTTTTGCTTGCACTACCCCTCACAACATCATAAAGTTTTTAAATAAATATGCACTGTTCTAGGATTAAAGAATATAACAATCTCATTACAGTGAAAGCAATTAAAATCCCGAGTTCTGTACTTAAAATCTACCCTTTCTCAGCAGGTAACTTCCACTGAGAAAGCTCCATTAGGAGATCTGTAAATGTCACTTGTAAGAACATATTCCAAAATGTGTGTTATGTATGCAGTGGTACACCATACCAGCATTTAAGAGGCCTCCAGAATCAGTGAATCATGCACCTGACTTAAGAAAGTTGTGACGAGGATAAAATGGGTAAAAGTTATTAAACCATTCTGAAAAATGGTAAACTGCTATACGTACAAACAGCTTCATTTATTATCATTCTTTCTGTAAACTGAACACTCTAATAGATTCTGTTCTTATATCAGAGAAATGAAAAGTGACGGCCTAGCATAGACTATGAGACATTCTGTGAAAGAAAATTTAAATGTCGTGATGGTGCTAAGAAATGAAATCCTGGCTCTTATAAGAGTTGCACAGGACAACGAACAGAGCTAGGCAGTTATCATTTGGAGCTAAGAATGCAAATGAAGGAAATTAAATTATTAAATTATGTCTATAATACATATTCAGTTCCAAATGCAAATGAACTATTCCTTGATTTGCATAGCCTTAGCACATCGCCATTGTCTCAAAAGCTGTCCAAGATTCATTTGAAAATGCACAGGATCATTGATATTCTCTCTCTCTCTCTCTCTCTCTCTCTCTCTCTCTCTCTCTCTCTCTCTCTCTCTCTCTCTCTCTCTCTCTCTCTCTCTCTCTCTCTCTCTCTCTCTCACACACACACACACACACACACACACACTCATACACACACACAAATACACACAGTATAGACATAAACACAGATACAAATATATACTGATCTAATTAAATATTGTCCAATTTCAATTTGCCAGTTTTAGTTTAATCCCAAAGGCTCTCACTGTTTAGAACCTTAAAATAACAAAATACTATTTAGTCTAATAAGTGATTCCTCTTCCAACGTGACATTCTCACAAAAGAAAAGAAAAAGTCCTAAGGGACACACGGCAATAGAATACAAGATTTATCTGCCACAAAGCAAAAAGTGAGAAAATATCTCTACTTCAGCAAAAATAAATTATTTCTTCTTCTATCAATAAGATTACAGATTAAAGAATTGATGTGAATCCCTTTGAAACTATTAGCACAAATTGCTCAAAAACAGTTATCTCTTAAACCAGGAATATCTTAAATTATACTAGAAAGAACATCCTTTCAGCCTTAGTCAAATCACAATCTAGATGTTTATTTCTAAATTTAAAACAAGATAAAATTTAAAATTTTCTTACCATATCTGCTAGAGAAATATAGAGGAACATGCCTCCCGCAAGTGCAAATATAATATTTGGAGCAAAGTTGTTGCCTACCAAAATGCCAAAAGCTAGCCCAACATAGCAGGAACATGCAGAAAGGAAATTGAATAACAAAGCTTGTCGAGTGCTCATTCCTGCATTGAGCAGGATCACAAAGTCCCCTAGAAGAAAAAGAAGAAAATATCAAGTGAAAAGTTTTTTTTCAATTTTTGGATGAAATAAAAGATAATCATCAATGTCCAACAAGAGCTTCTTTATTTCAATGCATTAGCAGGATTTTTGAGAGTGTGTCATCTGAAATGTCTCATTCCACTGAAACAAAGAAGTCACGAACTGACTTTACAGTATGAGCAAAGCCTCTTACCTAGCTCATGAGGAAATTCCTCACACAGGATAGCTATGGAAGTGCTGAGTCCCTGGAGAAGAGACAAGGTGCAAGAAGCCCCAATCGCCAGGCCATCGATGAAATTATGGAGGGCGTCACTGAGCGTTATCATCCAGGCAATTGTCCCTATTTCTGACAGTTTGGGCCCCCTCAAACAGGTACATGAACTTGACTCCTTTTTTCTATCCTGTAAAATAGCAGAAAATCAATCAACAAGATAAGCAACATTTCTTGAAACTCTAAGAAATACAGAGAAGTAAGAGATGTGTTATGTCCTGGAGGAGACAGATGGTTCCAACAGAAAATCTTTATAGTGGATAGGAGCCCTTAATCATATGTAACAGAGAAAGCATTTATGGCAGGGAGAAAGGAAATTAATAGATTGGTAGGCCTTGAACAAGCCACTTAAAAGACATTTTACTTCACTTTCCCCTTAAAACAGTCTGTTTGGTTTGTATGAACAAATTCCTACTACTGCCTTCCTGAAATATAATGGATATTAAGCTAAGAATTTGATTTATCCATAAACTTTAAAATTTAAAAAGTTTTGCAAAGACTAAATCTAAAGTCTATTCTATGTTACAATTTAAACATACAACCCATATTTAAAGCATGATGACATCAAAGAACATTTATTCTAGTCCCTCCTATGCCACTATGCGACTGTGAGCAAGTTACCTGAGCCTCAGTTTCTTCAGTTGTAAAAAGAAGTGGATGTACTAAATGATTTATTTATTTTTCGATGACTTATTAAGTTTCCACGATGTTCCAGTTACTATACGAGGTGTTTAGGCTGTAACAACATGGTCCCTACCAGCTCTAATACAACGATTCTCTTAACAAAACTCATGAAGTGTGATTGGAACGGGCTTGCATTTACACTAACACTTCTTTCCATTTTGAAATAATAACAAAAACAGAAAATTTTACAATTGACCCTTTGTAAGAATTTAAATTTTCATAAAATTTACAAAATTGTAAAAAATTGAATGACAAATACCAACTAAAGCATTTTCCAGAAACTGTAGAAAAAGATAATAAAATGCAAATTCAATTTTTAAGTAGGGAAGCAATTTGCAATTAACTAGAGAACATTTTATTCTTAATTCTCCTCCCCTCAACTCTACCTCAGCAGCTAATCAACATAATTATTGAACATCTACAATTTGTAAAACAGTGTACTAAATGCTATGGGAAATGCATGGAAGTGGAAAATACAGCTTCTGGCTTCAGGAAGTATATTTACTTCTGAGAAACAAGATGTAATGTACATGACTGCCTTTTTTAAAAAATGTGCACTATATATCTGGCTAAGAGGGACTTCCTTCAGAGCAATCATCTGAGAGATTTTACATTTACTCCAACACCACTTGCTTCATTACTGAAAACACTTTTGAGACTGTTCTTTTAGAATTGACTTTAGATCTTACATCGTTTCACTGTTTCATTAGTAGCAAATCTTCATTTGGGGGATGCTTTTTGTTTGTAGGCACAGCCAAAGTCATTTGGAGCCAATCAATTCTTAAATTAGTATGGAAGGAAAGGGGATTGTTAGCAGGAGCAGTAGTGACAGCATTAGTAGTCATAATTAGCAGTAGAAATAGTCATAGCAAAGGCATATAGCATTATTATGTGCCGGACACTGTTCCAAGCAGTTAGATATTTAATTCCTTTAGAACAATTCTATGAATTAAGTACTACTATTATCATCATTTTACAGTTGAGGAAACTAAAAGGTTAGTGAACTTATCCAGGGGTACAAAGGAAGTAAGTGGGCTTTTTAAAGTAACTACTTTACTACTCCAGACTTATGGGAGACAGGGAGTTGGAGGACACTTCTTGTTTGTAATAGGATCTGAAAGCAATTCACAAGAAGATCTTCTTCTCTCAAAAGACTCTTCTAAACACTTGAAACAATGTTGGAATAAGTCTTTAATTTTAAAAGGCAAATCTCATCAGCATAAAAATAATTCCATCTGGTCTTATAATGTGGTCTTTTTACTCTATAGTGTTAAAAAGACAAACTGAGGTAAATTAAAAATTTTAAGAGTTTATTTGAGCAAAAGTTGATCCTAATGTGGCAGTGTCAGACAGGAAGTAATTAAGAGTACTCCAATGACAGGAGCTCAGGGAGAGACTTCTATAGAGAACATGCTAAAGAAAAGCAAGGAAATTATTGTTGGCTCTAGCTTAAAGCCTAGTTGGTTTTTTGGTAACTGATTGCCTTTAGGTTTTGATTTTGCCCTTGAGGCATTTATAGGCTTAGATTTGGGTTTGCTCACATGATAGCCATGGCATTAGAGCCACCTCAGTCTAATGGCTTCCCTGTTTAATTAATTTAACCATTGATATATCTTAAATGTACAAAATAATAAACAATCATGATTTAGTGCATGTCAAATGGATTGCTTGGGTAAGAAATGGACCAGAGTAGGAAGCAACTACCGTCAACGGAGAAACAAGTGTAATTGTTGTAACCGCCAGTCCCCGATAGACGCACGGACCACCAGAAATCAGTGAGTTATAGGAAACACACTCTTTATTCAACCAGCTGGGTCTGCCAGGGGTGCACAGACACCAAATCAAGCAGCCCCGAAATGTAGAGGTACAGGGTTTTTAAGCCCTAAACCCCTGTTCTTCATCCTGTTTGAACACACAGTCTATTTTTCTTCTTTTTACTAACTGTCAACCCACAGGTCGGTTGTGCAAGTGGAGGTACAGAAGCAGAAAGTTTATTGTTAGAGCGTTTTTATGTCCCCATGGGCGATAGCCAAGCAGTAATTTTTCAGCCAGCACATAATCATGAGAAAAATCATAGAGGAAGAGGCCTTGGCTTTGCAAAAAGGTACTGTCAAGATACACTTAATAAGACCGGTTGTTTTCATCTTCCAACATGGTTTCCTTAGTCACATATTTACAATTTCTTTATTTACTTGTGATAGTTTAGGGAAAAGACTATAAACCAAGTGTTGACTACCTCATATTACATACTGTATACAAACTCTGTATCCAAGCTCCTTTAATTCTGAAAAAGAAATTAAATTAATATATCAGGTATGATAATCTTATCTCTAAGTACAGATATTATTGACTCTATTTATTATGCTTCCTTTTAGCTCTATAAGCTCAGGTCTCAAATGGCACTGTTGGGTTGGTTAACAGTTATACATTTTTAATAACTTTGGAACGAACAAAAGTAGGCAAATGTTCACAAGAGTTCTTTTTTACTTCACTTGGAACTAAGTTACTGAGCAGAGAGAACACTAAATTTAAGACCTTCTAGTTAAGTTGGTAAGTATTCTTCTTTCTCTCTTTTTTAAAAAATTTGCTGCTGTTGTCGTTTGTGTGCTCACTTATTTAACTCGTACACTAAATACGAAGCTATTTTTAATCTCGGCTATGATGCAGCAATTTAATTTAGTGAGAAAAAAACCACAGTTCTAAAATCCAGAACTGCAGTGCTTGGTATAGGGCCTGTACATATAGGTTGTTTAATAACTATGTGAGAATTAAATAAGTTGATTATTGGAAATTATCATTAAATAAATAAATAAATACTATAATAAAATCCAGGAGAACTGACTTTTAGGTTGGCTCTGATAAGAATTACTGTGTAATCATCAGCAAAGCTCTTAACATCTCTCACCTTAGTTATTCATGGAAATGAAAGTCAAAGCAAAGTGCAAAATAGTCAGAATGGGGAGAGAAAGAATATCATGGGCCAAAGTTATAAGACTAGAGGGGAGACCCGACAGTAAGTATGGAGAGAAGAAACAAAAAGTAAAAGAAAAAAAGATGCGAAGACGTCAAAATGAAGAAAGCAAGTGGGCTCATTGCAGAACAGTTTAAGTTTAAGCAGGGAGGAGGAAGATGAAAAAGAGGAGGAATGGCATGAGGTGGGAGGAGGAGGAAAAGAAATAGGAGAAAGACGATAAAGATGGAAAAAGGAATATAAAAAGAAAAAGGCAGAGAATGAAATGTGGACGTAAAAGGACTTGGCTGTTCTTTAGTGGGATATGAATTATATAAATATGGCTTACATCTGAAATGAAATAGTATGAAGAGTAGTAGAGATAATGAATATCTATATATTTCCACATGTAAAGATGTCTTAAACATAGTGTTGAGGTAAAAAATAAATAAATAAATAAATAAATAAATAAATAAATAAATAAATAAATAAATAAAACAGAACAGCATATCTAGTGGGCATCTTTTTGTAAAAATAATAAATAATTATTACTACTGCATGATGATTTAAGTTCAAATATATTTGAAATGATACATACAAAAATGTTCAGCGTGGTTCTCCTTGGGAGACAGTACTGTGGATAATCCTTGTTTGTTTGTTTTTTATCTTTTATGGTTGTTCTGGATGTTCTTTGCACTTATTATACATTATTTTAATACTCAGAAAACAATAAAGCCATGGGATTAGAACCAGCAAGAGGGAAAGTGAACTTGTGATGACTCAGGAGTTACCATCAGTAAACAAGGTGAAGTTGGAGAAGCAGGCTGCCTGCAGGTTTGGTCTATATTGAAAAGAGTGTATTGTCTCACTAAAATGAAACATTTTTTATGGGCTTAATGACTGCAAAGATCAGCATGAGCACAGTCAGATCTCATTCTGCATTGGGGAGAGCAAGATGAGCCATAATTCATGAAAATGTTTTCATGGTTTATTGTCTACACGTTTTGTTGGTTAAGAAGATAAAAACAAAAAAACATTGCAGGCAAAAATTAAATTCCAAATTCCACATTCTATGCTGAAATAATTTTGCAGACTAAGAGCTCTGAAAACAAGAAAACCAAGCCAAAAAGGAAAGTAGCAACCCACTAAAAAAATGCAATGAAGGTGGCAAAAGGAAGTATAAATGATAACAAGCAAAAGATAAAAATTATATGCAAAAAAATAACATAAAAATCTATGCCTAGAAAAGATAAGTTAATGTAATATAAATACAAATAATAAAATAGCATTTTTAGATTGCAAATAATTTAAAAAATTTTAGACTGCAAATAAAGAGAAGTGAGATTTAAGGAAAGCAGCACCAAATGCAAGCTAGCTTAATGATTAAAGGGTATATATGTGCCTTGGAATCAAATGGATATGAATATGAGTATCGGTTCTGCTATTTAATAGCTCTGTCCTTAGAAAAGTTTCTTGAGTCCTAGCTAATATAATAA